CGCCACCTAGCAGCACCTAGCTCTATGTAGCTTTACTTAGCGCCACCTAGTGGCACCTAGCTCTATGTAGCTTTACTTAGCGCCACCTAGCAGCACCTAGCTTTATGTAGCTTTACTTAGCGCCACCTAGTGGCACCTAGCTCTATGTAGCTTTACTTAGCGCCACCTAGCAGCACCTAGCTCTATGTAGCTTTACTTAGCGCCACCTAGTGGCACCTAGCAGCACCTAGCTTTATGTAGCTTTACTTAGCGCCACCTAGCAGCACCTAGCTCTATGTAGCTTTACTTAGCGCCACCTAGCAGCACCTAGCTCTATGTAGCTTTACTTAGCGCCACCTAGCAGCACCTAGCTCTATGTAGCTTTACTTAGCGCCACCTAGCGGCACCTAGCTCTATGTAGCTTTACTTAGCGCCACCTAGCAGCACCTAGCTCTATGTAGCTTTACTTAGCGCCACCTAGTGGCACCTAGCAGCACCTAGCTTTATGTAGCTTTACTTAGCGCCACCTAGTGGCACCTAGCTCTATGTAGCTTTACTTAGCGCCACCTAGTGGCACCTAGCTCTATGTAGCTTTACTTAGCGCCACCTAGTGGCACCTAGCTCTATGTAGCTTTACTTAGCGCCACCTAGTGGCACCTAGCAGCACCTAGCTCTATGTAGCTTTACTTAGCGCCACCTAGTGGCACCTAGCAGCACCTAGCTCTATGTAGCTTTACTTAGCGCCACCTAGTGGCACCTAGCTCTATGTAGCTTTACTTAGCGCCACCTAGTGGCACCTAGCAGCACCTAGCTCTATGTAGCTTTACTTAGCGCCACCTAGCAGCACCTAGCTCTATGTAGCTTTACTTAGCGCCACCTAGTGGCACCTAGCAGCACCTAGCTTTATGTAGCTTTACTTAGCGCCACCTAGTGGCACCTAGCTCTATGTAGCTTTACTTAGCGCCACCTAGTGGCACCTAGCTCTATGTAGCTTTACTTAGCGCCACCTAGTGGCACCTAGCTCTATGTAGCTTTACTTAGCGCCACCTAGTGGCACCTAGCAGCACCTAGCTCTATGTAGCTTTACTTAGCGCCACCTAGGCACCTAGCTTTATGTAGCTTTACTTAGCGCCACCTAGCAGCACCTAGCTTTATGTAGCTTTACTTAGCGCCACCTAGTGGCACCTAGCTCTATGTAGCTTTACTTAGCGCCACCTAGCAGCACCTAGCTCTATGTAGCTTTACTTAGCGCCACCTAGTGGCACCTAGCAGCACCTAGCTTTATGTAGCTTTACTTAGCGCCACCTAGCAGCACCTAGCTCTATGTAGCTTTACTTAGCGCCACCTAGCAGCACCTAGCTCTATGTAGCTTTACTTAGCGCCACCTAGCAGCACCTAGCTCTATGTAGCTTTACTTAGCGCCACCTAGCGGCACCTAGCTCTATGTAGCTTTACTTAGCGCCACCTAGCAGCACCTAGCTCTATGTAGCTTTACTTAGCGCCACCTAGTGGCACCTAGCAGCACCTAGCTTTATGTAGCTTTACTTAGCGCCACCTAGTGGCACCTAGCTCTATGTAGCTTTACTTAGCGCCACCTAGTGGCACCTAGCTCTATGTAGCTTTACTTAGCGCCACCTAGTGGCACCTAGCTCTATGTAGCTTTACTTAGCGCCACCTAGTGGCACCTAGCAGCACCTAGCTCTATGTAGCTTTACTTAGCGCCACCTAGTGGCACCTAGCAGCACCTAGCTCTATGTAGCTTTACTTAGCGCCACCTAGTGGCACCTAGCTCTATGTAGCTTTACTTAGCGCCACCTAGTGGCACCTAGCAGCACCTAGCTCTATGTAGCTTTACTTAGCGCCACCTAGCAGCACCTAGCTCTATGTAGCTTTACTTAGCGCCACCTAGTGGCACCTAGCAGCACCTAGCTTTATGTAGCTTTACTTAGCGCCACCTAGTGGCACCTAGCTCTATGTAGCTTTACTTAGCGCCACCTAGTGGCACCTAGCTCTATGTAGCTTTACTTAGCGCCACCTAGTGGCACCTAGCTCTATGTAGCTTTACTTAGCGCCACCTAGTGGCACCTAGCAGCACCTAGCTCTATGTAGCTTTACTTAGCGCCACCTAGTGGCACCTAGCAGCACCTAGCTCTATGTAGCTTTACTTAGCGCCACCTGGCTCACTGGAAGCCAGAGCTTCCCGGTTCCAGTCCTCAGGCCCCCCTTGCTCTGCATGTTTTAGATGAGCCTCTCCTCCAGAACAGCTGAGGAAGAGGAAGAGGAGGAGGAAGAGGAAGAGGAGGAGGAAGAGGAAGAGGAGGAGGAAGAGGAAGAGGAGGTCATTATAGGATGAACTCCCAGAGCTCCAGAATGATCTGGACGGGTTCTCTGGACCGGACTAAAGGTTCTGCACAAACAGAGGATGATGGGCTTTTTGTTGATGTGTTGACCTGATGCAGGAAAGACCCAACACTGCAGACCACGCCCCTCATGGCCCCGCCCCATCATGGCCCCCTGCGGCTCCTCCTCCCAGAGAGCCTGCCGTTACCTTGGTAAGCAGGAGGTGCAGCCTGGTGAGGGTGGAGCTGCTCAGTCCTTCATAGTGAAGCAGAGAAACAAGTTGAGACGAATCGCCACGAAGCAAACAGTCGTCCATCTGGAGCTCAAACTGGGACAGAAACACAATCATCTGGTTTCATCCAGAACACACACACTGACTCATTCACAGATTATTTCACACACAGAAAAACCCAAAGCCTGAAAACACAAACATGTGAATCTGCCGACACCAGCAGGGGGCGCCGTGCGACAGAACAACAGCGTCACTGAAATCTACTGGAGATCCACCAGTTATGATCAGTTATTGATCAGTTATTGATCAGATTCTGGATGTTCATTCCTTCGTGGTTCCGACTCTCTGATGCCACGAAAGATGCAAACTTTGAGGAACCGAACCGGGGAACCGAACCGGGAACCGAACCGGGGAACCTGGGTGGCGTTCCCGCAGCTCTGCTGAGATCAGGTGTGATGTTGGGCTGCAGACAGCAGGGGGCGGCAGAGAGCCGAGACAAAGACAGCTGGTCCAGAAAGGTGAAAACGGGCCGCAGCGCGTGGAGCAGACAGATCCGTGAATGAATGAATGAATGAATGAATGAATGAATGAATGAATGAATGAATGAATGAATGAATGAATGAATGAATGGGGCGGAACAGCGGAGGCCGCCTGGACAGGAGATGTTTGTCCGGATCCTCTCCTGCTGGACGTTCACGGAGCTTCAGAGAACGTTCACGGAGCTTCAGAGAACGTTCACGGAGCTTCAGAGAACGTTCACGGAGCTTCAGAGAACGTTCACGGAGCTTCAGAGAACGTTCACGGAGCTTCAGAGAACGTTCACGGAGCTTCAGAGAACGTTCACGGAGCTTCAGAGAACGTTCACGGAGCTTCAGAGAACGTTCACGGATCTCATCATCTTCAATAATCAATGAGAGCAAAGATCAATAAAACTGCTGGCTCACCATCGCGCGCACCCGTCTCCTCTCCTCTCCGTGCACTCAGGGTGTCGGGAGCGCGCACACAGCTGCACTTAATGAACTCATCAGCCTCGGGGCCGCGCAGCGGAGGACACAAAGTAGTTCAGGCCCGGCGGAGGGATATCATGATCAATAGGTGATAATCAATCAGACTTGTTTCATGAATATTCTGTCATATTTAGTACAAAATAATGGAATGAAGTAAAAGTAGAATTAAATCAACTAAGTTTGATTTAAATTGTAATATAGTTGCTACTTTAAGATTTTAAAATTTGACATTTAAATAAATAAAGAAACAAGTTAATAAATAAAACATCTGGGATGAATATGAATCAGATGAATCATATTTTAACAGTTTGAGAACATTTTAAAGCATGAAAAAAAACAGAAAAGAGCTGAAAGTTTAAAATTTAAAGTTGAACTAAAACTTTATGCTGGGAAACAAGCAGGTTTTTTTCCCATAATGCATCGGGATTCACCTGATTGAAATCAAATGAAGAAATTAATCTTTCAGGTTTTACTGACATCTTTACATCAAAACCTGAAAGTGAAACTAAACTCGACTTTAAACGGATCCTGTAAAATAACTAAAATCCAGGACTTTTTGTTTCTGTGGGGAATAATTATGACGCGACACAGAGACGATGACGTATGGATGAGGAGCCATGTTTGTTTTCCCACATAATTCATAAGTGGGAATATTTTCACATGATGACTCATAATGTTTCCTTATTACACAAAAATATGACTCAAATTTATTCACAACATTTAAAACAGTTTCAGATGTTTCTTTATTTGCGGAGCCAAATAATAATAACAATAATTATGATTATTAATAGTATCAATAAATCAGCAGGATGTCTCGCTGAGGCCTGTGATTGGTCAACACCTGCACAGGAGCTGAGCTGCTGACCAATCAGCTGCTAGGACGTGATGAAGAGGAGCAAACATCTTCATCATCAGTCAACATGGATGAGTATGACGTAATTACTGTTACGTCACTAAAAAACTAAATGGATCAAAACTGTTTATTAAAACATCCTCAAATTTGATTCTTTATTAATGAACAGCTTTCATAGCTGACCGGTTCGGACCTGATCCGGTTCGGACCTGACCCGGTTCGGTCTCCAGTTTGTGCTGCGCTCTAGAAACGGCTCTGCCATCAGAACCGAGTGCATGAGTTCGGAACCAGGCGGGACCCGCAGGTGGACCAGCTCCTCTGGTTCTGGTTCTGTAATTGTTGACTAATGAGTTTGTTTGTTTTGGTCAAAACAATCTCGAGTTTACAAAACAAACCTTCACCTGAACCTCCACACTCACCTGCGCAGCCAGATCTCCGGCCGAACCGGGTCGGACCCAGTCGCTGTGCCACCTGATCAGGTGAGGTTCTGCTGAAAGTCCTGAAGAGGTTCTGGTTCTGACCCGCCCCCTGTCCCCCTCTCCCCCTCCCTGTCCTGATCTCACCTGCTCTCACTTCTTACCTGCTGCGCTGCGAGCCGCTTCATCTGTCTGCGGTTCGGTTCTGACAGGCTTACCTTCCAGCCGGGCCGAGAGCCGGGACCAGAACCGCGACCACAACCGGGACCAGGACGAGGACGTAACCCAGAGGGAGCAGCAGAGCCGGTACCGGTACCGGCATCATGTCCCGGGGGGAGCAGAGAGACGAGGCGGACTGTGTCTGTTCGGTCGGGATGAAGCTGAACTGGGACATCAACGACCCCAAACTACCGCAGGTACCGAGCCCGAACCGGGCCAGAGCCGGGCCAGAACCGGGCCAGAGCCGGGCCAAAACCGGGCCAGAACCGGGCCAAAACCAGGTTCTGTTTCCAGAACTGATGAATAACTGGGATAAATATAACCGTACGCTTTAAGAAATAATAATAATAACAATAATAATAAAAGTTATTATTGTTGTTATTATTTTAAATAAATTTAATAAACAATAATAATAACGACAGTTATTATTATTATTATTATTATTATTATTATTATTTATTATTATTATTATTATTATTTTATTATTATTAAGCCAATCAAAGAAATGAACAGTTTTTAAGAACTTTACATTATTTTGTCTTGGATTATTTTTATTATTACGTAATAATAATTTGACTTATTAATAATAATAATAATAATAGTTTGAAGGTTTTTAATCTCGTTCCTCCTCGGATCCAAATGTTCTGATTAAATCCATAAGAACGGAATGTTTTGGGTCCGAATCAGAACCGAATCCAAAGCGGAACAGAAAAACTTCTGCTGCTAAAACCCGCTTTGGTTCGGTTCGGTCCGGTTCGGAGGACAGATAATACAACAAGAATCAGGATAAAAATTCAAACCAAAACGAGTCAGAACCAGAACCGCTCAGGGCGCCTGAACAGAACCCGAACCGACCGCGAAGAACCGGAACCATTTTATTCAAACTCCATAAATCCACGAGAATTTATTTCAGTGTTAAAGAATAAATTCTGAGAATGAATTGATTTATTTATCGGGTTCAGTTTGGGCCACAGACCGAACCCTGCTAAGTTCGGTCCAAACGGACTGAACAGTTAAAGACCGAAAATCTTTTTCATTTAGTTTGATTTTATTGGAGTTTTTCTGAATTATTGAATTTTTGATCAATTCTTCTTTAGTCACTGAATGTGGATAAATGAGGTTCGGTCCAGTTACTGGCTTCGGTTCCGAAACTGGAGTGCTGGTTTTCACACTCAGAACCAGAAGCGGTCCAATAAATACAGATCCGGTTCCGAAGTTTGAAAAGAACCGAGAAAAAAAAAAAGAAGAAATAATTCTGATAATAAATAAACAAACCAGAACCAGAACCAGAACCAGAACCAGAACCAACCGCTTAAAGAAAAGACACAAAACAAATAGAAAAACTTACAATAAAAATGAAAATATTCATTTCGGTTTTTAATAATTAAATTGTGTTTGATCGGAAAATTGTAAAGAATAAAAATAAAATAATAATAATAACAATTACTATTATTAGTATATTAAAATAATATAATATAATATATTATTATTATTATTATTATTATTATTATTATTATTATTATTATTATAACAACAACAATAATAATATAATATTAATATATAATAATAACAATAACATTCATTATAATTATAATTATTATTATTATTATTATTATTATTATTATTATTATTATTATTTTTTTTATTATTATTATTATTATTATTATTATTATTATTATCATCATCATCAAACCAACTCGGCTCTTTTCTATGACTTTGTGCTGAACTCCTGCCCCTGAGTTCTGGTTCTGGTTCTGGTTCTGGCTTTGGCCCGGCCTCCTGCAGCTCAGCTGTAATGGTGACATCAGAACCAGCTGTCTGGGTCGGGTCACATGTGAGCCACGAAGGTCCAAAACCTCCAGCTGAAGTTCCGCAACACTGGATCCAGTCAACCCGTCTTGGTTCTGTTCGACCCAGTTGTATCCTAGTAACCAGAACATCAGGTCCAGTATGAATACTGCATCGTTATTGGACCAGCATGTGGCAAAATTGCAGAAAAAAACTGCATTAAGAGGGAGAAAGCTCCAGCAGAACCAGAACCAGAACCAGAACTGGGCTCAGATTAGAAGGCTGAGCAGAACCAATTGCACCCAGAGAAACTGTCCATCAACATGTCTGACTGTAAGAATGCAGCAGCACAAAAAATCACAAACCGGAACCAGAGGACAGACATGTGGAGACATGAAATAATTGAAATAATCCTAAAACTAAAGAAAACATAATCAACTATGAAGAGACAAAGACATTAGAGGAAACTAGAACAGAAACCAGGCTGATCGAATAATAATTGTCTGTTTTTGTGTCCCCTGTCTGTCCCCAGGACCTGAAACAATTGGACCAATTCCAGGAGTGGACAGACGGTTATGTCCGCTACATCTACAGTGGTGAGAAATGTCTTATCTGACCAATCAACAGACAGGTAGCTGTTAGCAAACCCTGATGAGTTGAGCTTTT